TTGTACATAATATTGTATCGTACAAAATTTATAATTTTATGACCCTAAGTTACGTTTAATCTATAATTGTCTCCAACCCAACCTAAACAATACCCTTGTTCTCATAATATAGTATACTTCGTAGTTAAATTATTTATGTTAATTTTTCTAATATTGGCATAATTTAACATTACAATTAACCACTCCGTAAATTGTTTGTACTTAATTCATAGGTACAAAGAATAATTCGGAAATTCGATTTAGTAATTATAAGAATATAATAATTATAATCTTATAATTAAATAATTTGAAATATTTCTAATATTTAATAAAAATGTATCTTACCATTCTCGGTAATTCAATAAATGTGTTGGTCTGATTATTAGAATCAGGGAAGTGTGCTATGAGCACGGATAATTCTTCAATCCACATCAGGAGCATTTGTTCTTAGGTTGATCGTAGTTATAAATGAAAAATGTCTTTATCTGTTAAATAGTATTAGAACATTAGAGAATTTAGTGTTAGAACATAATAGCTAATGTCTGACCGAGTCATTTCATCCTTCCAGTAATAAAATTGGTCGGATTGCAAGAAAAAAATTAAAAATTAAAAAACAATGAAAAATTCGAATGAAGCTCCTGCGAAATATTCTCTCACAAATCGCTCCTTACTACGGTCCACTAGTTGATGATTTTAAACATCGTATTCGTAAAACGTTTACAGTTTTACTTTTTTTCTTTTAAGGTTAAAAGTTATCAATTATTAACATAATATTGTTTTATTTTTTTATATTAATCGTTTATTTGTACTCAAAGAATATTAAAATATCAATAGAGCAATCGATTAAAAACAACTATTACCTATAACTGTGACAGTGTTAAAATATTATAATCTTAACGTGATCACCTACGCGTGAAATACTTTGAACTGTACGTGTCGCGGCGGTAATAGTTTCACAAAAAATACGGTACAGCAGTAGATAGCTTGGTGCAGTATAATAATAATAACAACAATAATTAGCATGTTTAAGTGAAACAACTTTAGTATTTCTCGAGTTTTTTATGTTGCTACTGACTTTAAACATTACCTACAGCAATGTGATTGAATTAAATATACTTATAACAATTTAAGCAGGCTATTATACAACAAGTATAAATATAAATTTAAACAAGCTAGAGGAATTGATGCAATTGATAATGTAATGAAATATAGGAGTGGAGCGAGAGTCATGGAGAGTATTAAAGTCGAGAGTAATATATGCAGTTGAAATTGTAATTCGCATCCGAGATACATATTATGTATAGGTAGCAATACGTGAGAGAATTTAGCTCATTGCACGCACACTCGACACACGTATTAAAGGACAAATCACTTAGAATATTATCAAAATGACGGGAGGCTGGCTGTACCAACGCACCAACAATAACGTTGACGCGCGTTAATTCACTGTTTTAAACAAACGGACTCGAAAGCGAATTACGTTAATAAAAACACGTTAAATTTGCCCATAATAACTTATCTACCTACATGAGTGCATTTTAAATATTTCCTTTAACCAAAAGCGATAGCCGTGTTAACACTACACACTAATATTTGTTTGACTATCACATTCCGTGACGAGTACTTTAATAATATTTCACACGGTGATATTACGGTTGGACTTTGTGCTGAGCCTAAGTCCTGAGAAGCCAACGAATATCTAGTCTCAAATACCAACTATGATTAATGATTATAGGTGCATGCAAAATAAATACAATTACTTGTTGATCCAGTGCCGGATCTAAGTCTCGGGAGGCGGGGATGCAAATACCAATTGGAGACCGCTTAGAAAAAAAATTTGATCAACATAGATCTTATATATTTATTTAATACATGTTGATGTATTAAATCAGGGTTCTTCAAACTTTTTTACGGTGGGCTAAAACTGTTTAGAGGAAAAAAGAGGTAATGAAGTTTAAGAATAGATAAGAATAGATGAGATTTTTTTGGATTTTAAAAAAAAAGTAAATTTATTTTTAATTTTTTTAATTCAAAATTTGTTTGTTGAGATCAGTGTAAGTTACTTCATGTGAAATTTGGAATTGTTCGTATTTTAAAATGTCTTGATAGTTTGCATCAAACATTATTGTTCCAATTAACAGCGTCACTTGTAAATAAATGTCTTTCATTTGAGTTAGTTTTATACTTAGATTTGACGTATTTTATTTTCGATAACGTATATTCTTCAAGTAAGTGGAGCTAAATATTAAAGTCCTTTCACGTGCATACTTTTTCAGGTTTAGAATAATATTGACAAAATATCAGTAAATATGATGGACCGAACCGGTCCACGAGTCGTATGTTAGAGACCCCTATATTAAATAATTTTAAAAAATGATTTTAATGTAAAAACCAGTATAGTATTTACTTTAATAGGTAATTTAGAAAAAAAAATCGAAAAATGTAATTTTAAATTTTAAATTTTGGTTTTAGAAGTCCCGATGTAGGTAGTCACTCCATGTGTCCTCGCTAAATCCGGTATTGTGTTGATTATATGAACTCGGATTTTATAGAATTAAAAGTACTAAAACAGGTCCCATTTGGAAATCTAAAAAATCTTAAATTGAATGAAAAGCATAAATAATATCAAAAATTGATTTATTTTTAAAAAAAAATGTATATTTATGGACTGGCTAAAAAATGCGAAAAAATTTTTTTTAAATAAAAAATGATTAAAAATTAAAAAAATTAAATAACAAATTCCAACAAGTATCCAGCAATGTCCAACAAGTTTATCTAAACATTGTTGGGAGTTTTTTGAAAAGTTCTGCTAACATTGTAATACTAATGTCTCGGCCCTAAATTAACAACAAAAATTAAAAAAAAATAACATGTAAAGACCTAGGTGAAATTAAATTGGCGTCTGACTACAATCAATTTTTCCTATATTTGAGGTAACATTTTACTAAAGTGAAATCTCTCTATAATATTTTATTCATTTATAATAATTATCTTTCAATAGTAGACATTTTTAAATTTCCCATCAAAAATATATGTACAATAATAAGAGTTATAACTCTTAATAGTGGATATGAACTGTTACGAAAATTAAAAATTAACTCTCATAAATAGACATTATGTATGTATGCTCGGCATCAGGAGTCGGCAAACTTTTGAACCACGCGGGCCATATTTTTTTTCAAATGTTTATCAAAGGCCACATTAAAAAAAAAAAAATACATATGATATATACTAATAATTGTATTGTTATTATATTTGATTATTTTACATAGAAATATGAATGTAAAAAATACGAAAGTTTTCTCCCTGAGTTTGCCTTTTACATACTCGTAGCATTTTTTATTTCAATAAACTTTTTCCCGTGTTGATAACGTCATTAAATATTTGATAGTGATTCGCCACAACCTTGCATGATAAACATCAAAAAGATAGTGATAATCATAGTAGAAACTAGAAGTATCTGTAATATCTACGCCAAATACAAACACCTGTTATTCGTTAATCGTCAAAATTTAGTTAATACCAAAGGTTTAAAATACTTTAATAAAAATAGTAGTTTACTAGTTTAGTACATAGATACACTATACATATAAACACGGCCCATAGGGGGGGGGGCTATAGCCCACTTAGTCCCCCCCTTGGCTACGCCACTAATCCATATGATTTTCCTATTCAATAAATGAAAATTTATTTCGGTTATATCAGTTGTATCCTGTCCATTATGCGAACATGTACATGCATTAATTTATTTAAAATGAACAACAATAAACGAAAATGATTACGAGAGGAGGAATGCACGGGTGTTATAAGTATTTTACCGCGCAAAAATCTACTGCGCGTTCTAAATCTATACCAACACACGAACGATTATTTTTAAGTGCAATAATAGCTGACTCATAGTTTTATGATAAGACAAAACCGAAGAATTCGTTTTGATAATACGATCGGTCCACACATTGGTGATTCTGGAAAGAAAATCCGATAAAATGTGATTTAAAAAAAAAAATTATTCATGATTTAACTGTAAATAAATTTTGTATTATAGGCATTTACTTGAATGCTTAAAATATGGACTTAATGGATACAGAATTGCAATTAATGAGGCTCTTGACATATAACTGAGACCCAAAACAGAAGACACTTTTTTAAAAATTACCTTTTAAAAGCATCAGAATTATATAATTTAATTTAATAATATCATCCCATCGTTAGTACGAGAAAAAATTATTTTTATTATAATCAATTTCATTTGTACCTACATGTGTAAATATTGTAATAATGTTATCATCATAACTAAATCCAATCTTGTCACCCAATTCTAATTCTAGACCAATTTCACCAATTTCAACTTCACCAATTCTAATGTGACACTTATTTAAACATAACAATAATAATTGTTAATCGTATTACTAAACTAATGGCTATAGACGCCAGGTTTGTTTTAAAATTAATATCCATGATTTTTTGAAAAATAATATTTTTACCATACATTTTGTCACTGATTTACGAGTTTCTTCACGCCTCTTACAAAATATTATTTATTTTTGCATTCAAGAAATCACACTATCCGTTAGTACTCGGTATGTATAGTATATAAAACCCGAAGTATATGCGAGCTTTTTCAGTTTTCAAGAACTAACTGTTGGAAATATAAAAGCACATGATATCAGCCACGCGATCGGAATAAAATATCCTATAGCCATAGAAACACGAACATAAGGCTGCAGGACGCGATGTGATGTACCCGTGCGATAAAGCTTTAAAAAATGAAAATGGACCAGTTTTCTTTTGGTCCGCTAACAAGAATCAAGACAGTTTCTATAATATTTTATTAGCATCAACCAGCGTTGCTGAAATTGAAAAATTCAAGTACGGTATAATTACAAAATTATGGGATACCATCACCTCACAAATGGATTGAGAACCTAATAATATTTGCCTGGTACTAAAAATACTATTACATAAACTCGTAATAACGAGTTAATTATTAAAAGGGCGACATTCACTTATGTTTTCTCAGTCCTATAGACGTAAAACATAGCAAATATGCATTCAATAAAACCAAGGACTAGAACCGAACCGAAAAAAACCTTAAATTTTAATTTTAATGAACCTAAACCAGAACCGGAACCACGATAAACAAAGGTTTTTTTCGGTTTTTGATACATTGTGTATGTATTATATATTGCATATTTAAAAATAAAATTGTTTTAAATGTTATATATTAATATAAATTACATGATATTGCAGTATAATTTCAAAATACCAAGAAAACCAATTATTAGCGTGTACTCACAGATTATTTGAGAAAATTGATACTAAAGATCCTACAAAAAAGTAATGACTATAAAAATAAAGTTGTGATTCCAAGTACTAATATAATTCAAACCAAAATGTATAAAAACTCTTTATATTTGTTTCAGTGTTAACAAAAATCAAACATCATAGTTCATAGCTTCATATAAAAGTGTAACATGACTAACTGGATAGCAAAATTCTCACATTTACCAACAATTTTATTTTATAATTATATTGATTTTGTACAATTTTGATGGATTAATAAAATTAAAATTTTTTTAATAGGAAAGTGTGATAATGTATATTAATATTCATGGCATATACTTTTTTCCATGTCAACAAAAAAGTTGAAACACGTTAAAAATGGGTTTCAACCGGAACCAGAACAGAAATCTTAATTTTGTATTTTTAAATATTGGAATCCAAATCGGATCGGAGAATTTATATTTAAAATAACTGGAATTTAAATAAAAACCATTAAAATTGTAAAGGCCCAGTCACTAAGTAGAACTAAAATTATGTTATTATAGATTAAATATTAGATTTATCCAATAAATTATCAAAATGAAAGGGAATACGATTATCTGTGTTTGTATGTATGTTTATTTTACGATAATTTCATTTTAAAAGGAATTTGAATAAATAAAATATTAAAATTAAATAATTTAAAAAAAATCTTATAATTCGATTAGAAACTGGACCACTCATTCACCATTAAAATATTACGAGGTAGAGTATTTGCTCTACATGATTATGGGATTTGATGACCATTGGGATTAAGTGACCGATTTAACATGCAAATTTATTTGTATTGGATATATTAGCCAGAAAACACCGGCACACAGTGGTATCAAGAAAGTATGTAGCGGGCCAAAAATAGAATTTATTTAATCGAGTTTTATATAAATAACTATATATGTGTGTGTTTACTACTATATATAGATAACGTTAATTACATTTTTACCTATAGTAATAGTCATTAACTGTTGCCATGAGCACAATGAAATCGTTTAACTGTTGAATTGCACCAAAACATGTATTAAGACACGTAATATTTAAATTATATTTTTTTGACATTTCGTTTAATTGAAATTAATTAATATTGTATTGTGATCAAATTGGACCTTACCTTGGATAATATTCAAGGTAAATTTTCACTAACTTTGTTTTTTTTTTTTTAATTTAAAACTGTGTGATTAATTTATGTATTAGTAAAAATATGCACTGCACTTTTTAATTTTCAAAAAGGTGGCTACCATTTGTGGGAGTTCTGGGAGGTTCAAATTTTTTTTTCTTAAATCTCAATACATGTATATTTAAATATGCTATCGATTATTTGCCCCAATTTGCCTCAATTTGCCCCAATTTACCCCAATTTGCTCCAAATTGAAATATTAAATTTATTCTGTTTAGATATAAGTAATGATCACGATCCGAAAACCTTTGAGCAAGTGAATATCAACAAACTTTTTCTGGAAACGAAAATGAAATGGAATTTAATGTAATTAACGATACAAGTGTATTTATGTTTTGTTTAGTCCTTTTGCAATTGATATTACATCCAAATTCAAATGAAAAAAATATTTTATGGTTAAATCAAAAACCTTCATCGACCAGTTACCTACTGTCATCCGATCAAAATTTTTCGAAAAAGAAACACCGAATAATATTTTAAAACATGTAAAAGACGTTTAAAATAAAATTTCTAATTTTAAAATTTAGAAATTAAGATTAATGATGATTTGGTCAATGTTCGGTATACTATGATACTTAGTATGGTAAATGGGAAGGTCATTAATGCGTCAACAAATACGTCAAGTGCCACATGTTTTATTTGTAAATACAATACTTTAAGTATAAATAAATTAAACAATATACATGCATTTGAAATGAATGAAAATAACATAAAGTATGAATTATCATCTTTGCACTTGTGAATAAAATGTTTAGAATGGATTTGGAATATCAGTTGTAATTGAATTGTGTAGAAACTACTAAACAGTTGAGTGAAGAGCAAAAAAAGTTAGTTTCGCAAAGGAAGGAAGTAATACAAAAGAGATTTTGGAATAAAATGGGATTAAAAGTAGATAAAGTTATTCAAGGATCGGAAACATCTAATACTGGTAATGTGGCAAGACGTTTTTTTAACAATCACGAAAAATTAGTTGATATTACTTGTATAAATGTAGAATTAGGTAATTAATCAAATAAGTGCGATTTTATGTGTTATTTCTAGTGGTCGCAAAATTAATACCGAAAAATTTGATAACTATGCTAAAATGACAGCACAACTTTATGTAGAGCTGTATGATTAATACAGAATGCTACCATCAGTATATAAATTATTAATTCACGGAGCACTTGTAATAAAATATTCTCTGTTGCCAATCAGGTTTTTTTCAGAAGAAGCGTAAGAAAGTAGAAATAAAGATTATAAAAGATATCGTGAACATCACACAAGAAAAACTTCACGAATAAATACAAATGCAGACTTATTGCATTCTCTTCTCATTTCTTCTGATCCTTTAATAACATCAAAAAGAACATTAACTAAAAATCCTAAAACTCAACTCTCAATAGATGCATTGGATTTAGTAGATGCTTCTAAAGAAACAGATAAGGAAAGTGATTCAGAAACTGTTTCTGAAACAGATTCAGAATAAAATAACAATGACTTATTATTGAAAAATAAACATAAACATAAATTTTAAATTAATAATAAATATGTATTTTATGTATATTACGTTATTATATAAACTGTTATATTACAATGTAAAACTTTGTGGCAATACTTCTTTATATTTTTTTTTAATAATTGTATATTATAATTAATTTGATAATAATCTCATTAAAGTAAAAATTGTAAAAATAGTATAATAAAGGTAAAATAAATTTATTTACTTGTTATAAGCATTTAACCCAACTTCAGTAACTTGTAGGTCTATATTTTATAAAATAATTATTTTGGCCACCTAGAAAGAAAATTGAGACCATTCGCACAGTGCAATAACTAATTGCAAAACTATTGTATCTGTTTTGTTATTAATCTTCAGATAAAGTTAGGGTCCTGATTGAGTGCTGCAACGCGGGATTCCAGAAAACGCAAAACTATTGTTATTGTAGTCAATGCGTATTCGTGACGTAGTAATTTATAAATTATTTTAACATTTTTCTTTTCTTTATGGTCCCTTCATAAATTAAGAAAATAATCACGAAGTTGAGTGAATAAGAATTATGAATTTAAATGCTTGCATAAACCTATAATATATCGTTCATGCAATCTTGAAAAAATTATGTCTTTAAAATTAATATTTTAATTAACATTTAGATTTCTTATAAAATTCCGGAAAATGAAAAGCACTCAGATACGTGGTTTGAATCTGATAGATTATTTTTGACGAAGCAAAGAATAACAAATATTGTGGTGGAATGAAATTTTATGCGTGTTCACATACTTATGACTAGACAATTATTATTTTAATAATATTTCCTGAGTGTGTACTGAAAAAAATCGTTATTAATATTTTCAATAAGAAGTAGAACAGTCATATATTTTAATTTTCATAAAATTTTTACTAAGAAATTAAAATATGTTTTGATAAAATATTCTGTTATACATTTATATAATATTATTATTAGCATATTTTTTTTGGAATAATTTCGCATTGCTGTTTCACGCTAATGGTTCGCCACAATCGTGTAAACGTACGTACCCATGCGGTGCACTGGCTACAAAGTCGCAGTATAATATATTTTACAAATGCGAAAGCATTCACGCTAGTATTTCCGACTAGATACTTATGCATGAACGTTATCGTATCTGTTGAATATATTGTGCTGTAGCTTTGCTCCGAGTAGACAAACTAGCGTTCGCACGAGTTTGTAATTGTACGGTTATAGAATTGAAAATACGAATTTTCGTTTACTAAATTTACTTACTTGATTTACTTTGTCATGCGTAAGTTCTATCGTTATAGATATTTGCAAATTTCAACTATATACAGTGTGTTCTACGATAATGGTAACATGAAATATCACCTTGTATTCTATTCGGATTTTTAACGGGTTTCTATTGTAAGAAAAATTGTTTTACTGTGCATGTGCGGTAAAAATTTCAAAAATAAGCGTAAATTCAAGGACTTTTACGAACAAAAAAATCCGAATAAAAAATAAAAGGTGATGCCTTGGAAATATTTCATGTTACCATTATAACAGAAAACACTGTATATACGAGTAGTTGAAATTAGCAAATGTTTTTAATTACAGAACATACGGCTCACAAAGTAAATCAAGTAAGTAAATTTAATAAACAAAAATTCGTATTTGCAATTCTACAACCGTACAATTACAAACTAGTGCGAACTGGCTGAAATATTCTCCAGTAGTTTGCCAACTCGGAGCAAAGCTACAGCACAATATATTCTACAGATACGATAACGTTCAGGGATAGGTGGTATCTAGTCGGAAACACAAGCGTGAAGGTTTCCGCATCTGTAGAATATATATATATATTTATATATTTATAGAATATATTATACTTCAACTTTGTTGCCGGCTCACCGCAGGGATACGTACGTTTACACGATTGTGCGGCCACGGCGACGGCGGCGGCGGTGGTTCACCGGCACTTGGGCAACGTGGACTTTACGTTTATTATCTTTTTCACCAGTATTTTGTTTGTCCGGACCATATCCGACTGCTTCTTGCTGCGGTTGATGTAAGACGACGACACTTGAACCGCGCCCGTCGGCCTCGCGCCCATTTTCGCCTCCACGTAAGTGTTTTTCACCCTCGCGGCCGTCGTCTTCCCGTCCGCGCCTAGCGGCTGCACGATCCCGAACCCGAGAAGAGCGCGCGATTTCGGCTGAGGCTGCAGGAGGTTGTCCCGGCTCGTGAACGCCACCGCTTCGCGTCCGCACGCCGCCGCAGCCGCCACCACCGTTCTCGCGTTAGACCTTTTGGCCACCGTCGCGTCACCCTTGCCCGCCGCCGGCGCGTTAATCTTGCTGCGGTCGACAGCCGGCGTCCGCTTGGCCTCCACCGGTTTCACGGGGGCACGTCGCACCGGCCGTCGGTCCGTACCGCAAGTCGTCGACCCTTCGCCGCGATTCAAACCCGTTTCCCTCGGTCGTTTTTGGACCGCGATCGTCGTCGATCGTTTCTGCGCGACGACCGCATCGCGGACGACATTCGGTCGTTTACGTCCGTCATGCG